GATAAGTGGATAAGATTGTAGGAAAAGGGCAATTTCCAAAAATAAATAATAAATAATTTTTTTAAAAAAAGCGCGCAAAAAGGGAACCATGATTTAATTAATAAAATAAATGGATTTTTTCAAAAGGGAGTTGTTTGGGCCCCACATTCAGTAGTCGATGACAAGTCATCAAATTATTTAGAAGAAATCATAATAAATTTATTATAATTTAAGGGTATAATTGAAATAAAAAAAATTTACAAGGGCTATTTTGAAATAAAATTTTCAAAATTTAAGGGTACAATTAGAATAATTCCAAAATTTGGGAGTATTTTTGATAATTTAGGAAACCAAAAACCCTATTTTAATTATATCCAATGGGCGTAATCTTGTGGTTAATATGTTATCATTTTTAAAATGGAAACTTTTTTTTTTTTTTTTTTTATAATGGACAAAAAAAATGGTAATTACGCGGCACAACTTTGGCCTTCTGGAATCCCGCCACGTGGCAGGTCAATTTCTTACTTTTTCCTTTTTTTTCTTCCCCCTTTTTTTCTCTGTCAATGGCGTTTTCTTATATATAAATTCAATCTCTCTTGATTTGTTCTTCATTTTAAGAGCTCCGTTTTACCTTTTGCGAAAGCTATCTTAATTTTTTTTTTCTCTTGTTCTTTGAGAGTCTTTATTTTTGGATTTCGGAATTGGTTTTCTGTTTTTTTGGTTTCGGATTTCCTTCGTTTCGCGTGTGAATTTTTTGATAGATTTTTGTTTGAATTTTCCGTTTCATTCTTCTTCCCGAATATGGAGGTTTCAGTGATTGGAAAATGTCAGGCGAAGATCGCAGGAGCCGATTTTTTTGACAGGGAGTTAGGGTTTTTCAATTCGAAAGTAGATAGTAAGATTCTTTTGTCGAAGATCTGTTTCATGAGAGGTTCGAGGTGTGAAAGGTCCAGAATCCGATTATCGACGAAATCCGTGCAGATGGAACCAGTTCAGTCTCAAAACGTCGATGTTGGAAGAAGATCCAAATCTGTGAGTACTATTTTGCTTCTTATTTTCAATGATTTTTGCCCCTTCGATATCCTCCTGTTTGGTTGCTGCGAAGCCTTGAATCTTTAAGCCATTAGTTTAATGGATAATGCTTACTTTTAAATTAGGGGCTGAATACAAGAATCCTGGTCTTTCGTTGCCTTTTTGTAATCTTTTGGATTTAAAATTTCAATTTATGAACGGATATTATCAGATCTCACTAAGTTTGGTTGTTTATCTTAAATGAAGGCTAACCACAAAGGTTTCTCGATATTCTCCTTATCTTGTAGATTTAGAATTTGACATGAACTAATAAAGAATTGTTCAATATTAATGGAGAGTTTGAACAGAGTACTTCCTACCATGATATAGCCATTATTATCGATAGTTAATGATCCACGTTGACTAAGAAGTCAGGAAGATCCAGAGATATAAGTATGAACTACAATTTTTTTTGGGATAAAAAAACAATTTCATCTATGAAATTTACAAAATGATGGACAAATCCATGGTGATAACAAAAGGCTTTTCCAATTAGAAGCGAGGAATGCTTAAATAAGTGAGGATTATGTGCCCATTGATGCCTTTATTATATAACTTTTATTGTTCTGTTCTTCATGGTTATTTTGTATTCCAAGTTTACCATATGTTGGTTGCGCCTGCTTAAGTTCATCACTGACGAGCTTCTGCTCATTTTTTTGCAGCTTGAGGGGGTGAAATTGTATGTTGGATTGCCATTAGATGCAGTTTCTCCCTGCAACGCAGGTAACCATTCAAGAGCAATTGCAGCTGGCCTTAAGGCTTTGAAACTGCTTGGTGTTGAAGGTGTCGAGCTTCCGGTGTGGTGGGGAATTGTCGAAAACAAGACCATGGGGAAATATGAATGGTCTGGCTATCTCGCCCTTGCGGAGATGGTTCGAAATGCAGATCTCAAACTACATGTTTCATTCTGCTTCCATGCATCTAAGCAACCAAGAATTCCTCTTCCTGAATGGGTCTCGAAGATCGGTGAATCCAAACCTAACGTTTACTTCACCGATCGTTGCAGGCAGCAATACAAAGATTGTCTATCACTCTCTGTTGATAACCTTCCTGTCCTGAATGGGAAGACTCCGATCCAAGTTTACCGTGAATTTTGTGAGAGCTTCAAGTCTTCATTCTCAAAATTCTTCGACTGTACAATCTCAGTAAGAACCGTTCGTTCTTAGATTGTATCCATTAGCCCCCATTTTTAATGGTTTGTTTGGGTTCTAATACTTTATGTTGCCTTTCGATCTATTTCAGGGTATCTCCATGAGTCTTGGACCTGATGGTGAGCTTCGATATCCTTCCCAGCGACAACTAGAGTCGCATGGAGTTGGAGAATTTCAGTGCTATGATGAAAACATGCTTAGCATTCTTAAGCAACACGCCAAAGCAAGCGGGAATCCTTTATATGGACTTGGAGGTCCTCACGATGCTCCGAGTTATAAGGAAACGCCAAACTCGAACAATTTCTTCAAAGATCTTGATGGTTCTTGGGAGTCTCACTATGGTGATTTCTTCCTTTCCTGGTATTCTGCCGAGCTAATTGCCCATGGTGATCGCCTTCTCTCTCTTGCCTCCTCCGTCTTTCACAACACCAAAGCAAGCATTCATGGGAAGGTTCCATTGATGCATTCTTGGTACAAAACTAGATCACACCCCAGTGAATTAACAGCCGGCTACTACAATACTTCCAACAGAGATGGATACGAGGCTGTCGCCGAAATGTTTGCCAGGAACTCGAGCAAAATGATCTTACCTGGAATGGACCTATCCGATCAACTTCATCCTCAAGAATTGCTATCAAGCCCCGAGTCCTTAATAGCACAAATCAAGTCAGCTAGCAGAAAGCACGGCGTAATATTGTCGGGACAAAACTCATCCAATTTGGAAGCTCCAAGGAACTTCGATCGGATAAAGAAGAATTTGGAAGGGGAGAGTGTGGAATTGTTCACATACCAGAGAATGGGAGCTTACTTCTTCTCCCCAGAGCACTTCCCGTCGTTTGCTGAATTCGTTCGAAGTGTTCATCAACTTGAACTGCATTCAGATGATCTTCCCGTCGACGGGGAAGAAGAAGACACTGCCGAGACGCCATGCACCAGTCCCGTGTCCGAAGCACAGATGCAAGCGGCTTAACGGAGGTCAGAGTATCATAGTAATGTAAATATGGATCACGTTGGTAAGATCATTGATTAGAAACTGCCTTCTAAAATAATGAGATATTGTTAAGCCATTTCATGTTCGATATTGAGTAGCAAAAGCTGTGAATAAGGTCAGTTCAAGGCTTGAGAATAGTATTTTAGATTGAGGATTTATATATTAAACATCCTCCAGAGAGCAGCTCTGTATATGCTTTATAAGATTCTGGTCTGGTTTGAAGCAAAAAATACTTCAAGATTATCATAGTTTGGTATGTAAAATTTCAGTGATTTAAATAATTTCTTTTGATTTATTATTATCTTTTTTTTTTTTCTTTTACCTTGTGATTAAGTTTAATATTTATTTCATCTATAAATTTCTAAGATCTTACACTTTTGTTTTTTTAGTACGTTTATTTTTTTTTGTATTTATTGTAAACTATATGTGATTCCCACATTGGTTGGAAGGAGAACAACCTACCATTTATAAGGGTGTGGAACCCTTCCCCTAGCATATGTGTTTTAAACTCTTGAGGAGAAGCTCGAAAGAGAAAGTCCAAAGAGGACAATATCTGCTAATGGTGAATTTGGGCCGTTACAAATGGTATTAGAGTCAGACACCGGATTAGCCTTCTCATTGTTCCACGAAGAGGGTCGACACAAGGCGATGTGCCAGTAAGGATGCTAGGCCCCAAAGGGGGTAGACACGGGACGGTGTGTCAGTAAGGAAGCTGGCCCCAAAGGGGGTAGACACGAGGCAGTGTGTGCTAGTAGATTTGGAGACAATCCCACATCGATTGAGAGAAGGAAGGAGTGTCAGCAAGGACGTTGGGCCCCGAAGGGGGTGGATTGTGATGTCCCACATTGGTTGGGGAGGACCATAGTGTTTTAAAGTCTCAAGGGAAGCCTAAATGAGAAAATTCTGTCCCACATTGGTTGGGGAGGACCATAGTGTTTTAAAGTCTCGAGGGAAGCCTAAAAGAGAAAATTCAAAAGCGGATCGTTAAGACTATATCAATTAATTGATTAAAAATAATTATGGTTTGGAAAAATGTGTTAGAATTATCTAAATTAATTGATTAAAGATAATTATGGATTCTTTTATTTTATTTTAATAGTTGAAAATTTGTGAGAATTATTTATGTTAACTATCTCAATGAATTGATTAAAAATAATTATGGTTTGGATTTTTTTTTATTTAATTTTAATAGCAACTGAAAATTAGTTAGAATTAATTTAATTAACATTTATTTCAAAATTAATATACGACCAAAAAACAAAAAGTATAATCTGAAAAAGTTAAAAATCAAATGAAAATTATACTACAAAATGTACCAAATTAAAATGAAGTGCAAAATTAAGAATAAAAGTGTTAACACAAATATATATATATATATTCTAATAGAATATTTATTTTTTTAAAAAATCTAAAAGTTAAAGATCTAAATTTGTAATCTAATAAATAAAAAAATATCGCTGAAAATTTTAAAAATATTATTTTGATCCTTATTTTTATTTATGACCTTCTTTCTTGTCTACTTTCAACTAATTTTAAATTTAATTCATCTACATTCAATAAATCTTAAATAATTTAGTTATTCAAAGTAATTGAGTAAATAATAATAATAATTTACTCGTAAAAAAAATACCATGTAAATATATTTATAAAATTTGTAAAAAAGAGGATAGGGACAATTCTTAAAAAATAAAAAAATAAAAAAAAAAACTAAAATATAAATATTTATTAAAAATATTTCGGCTAAATTAATTTAAGAGTTGAGATTATAGTAACTAAATAAAATAAACTGAAACTATAAATACCCTACAAAAACAAAGGAACGAAAATGAATAGCTGATTTCAACGGTCAACCACTGCCATTCAACTTCTTCAATTGAAAAATAAAAAAGAAAAAATCACTATTTACACAAACTGGGAGAAATATTCACATCATAATCAAATAAAAAGTCTTCAAGAACCATTTATGAACGACTTTATTTGCCAGAAGCCATTAGTGGACCTTCAAACTGAGCATCCCTTCCCTGCATCACAAATTAAACTCAGGACCGATTGTTCTAAACGGTACGGTAATACAATCTGTAGAACAGATCGTGTTCGAGTACAATCTGTAGAATAGATCTTGTTCAAGTACAATCTTTAGAACAGATCCTATACGAGTACAATTTGTAGAACAGATGATCATGTACGAGTACAATCTATAGAACAGACCGTGTTCGAGTATAATCTATAGAACAGATCGTGTTCGAGTATGGTCGTACATTAAGCCATTCTTACTCTGGTGATATCGTTGAAGTCAATTGACATGGCCATAATCAATGAAAGGGATATCATAAGCACAAAGCGTAATTATGGAATAAGAATCAATGGTAGATATTAGCATGAACATTCAATAATTCCTAAGGTTAAGCAAAATTTTATGCCATATTTACTGGATATCCAACTGCAGGGGGGACGGGATATTTCGAGAAAAACAGTTTCGAGTACAAGCAGCGATACCGAACTGTGAACTAATAACATGTCAAGCTTGCAAAAAACCGAGAATTGAGAACATAATATCATGCAGAGTACACATACCGGAAAACAAAACATTTTCGAGCAAAATAGTTTACAGAGATCGACGAGACCGACGTATTGCAAGGAATAGAGAATAACCAGATAAAACGTATGAATATATGAACTCATTTCATACTCGAATTAAAGATATCGAAGATAGAATGTGGCTTCTTCTCCTATTCTGTGCACACGACATTGTGAAGTATAATAGAGTCTTAGAAATTAATGACAGTTTTACCTGTTAAATGATATGTCTATCATTCACAAGCAATCTTGGTGTCAATGCTGCTGAGGCAGATTGCGAAAGCCAGGAAAGCGGAGATCGGGTAACGATAATCCATTGTGAATAAATCCTTCCCCACTTTTCCAAACTGAAGGATGATCGTGTCATGATCGTCTGTAGGTTGTTCGTCTTCCCTAGACGCGACTAGTTGAAAATTTTTCACAGAAGCAATTGTAACTCTTCCATGAAAGTTTAAACACCAGCATTGAAGCTGCTCGTGCCACCGGGGAGTTTTGTTTCTCAGCATCAATATTCCATCTTCCTGACTGTCCGAAGGTTTACACATCAAGCTATCCATATCTGAATTCAACCTCCAAAAAGGGAATGATGGAATCAATTCGATATTCCTCAAAGAAAGCTCAGCCAGCGTGGGAGCAACTCCTCCAGGTTCAACCGCAGAAGCGGGAATGGCGTCCATGACACACTGCATTCTCCTTGGACCCCTGCGTGTTAATCACATGAACTGTTGAGCATTTGCTAGACATCTAAAGAACAAATGCAGTCATCCAGACAAAGAATAACTATAAATCATAAGCCAATTATCCGATAGCATTGGAATTACCTTGATCCCAACACATTTAGTTCATATGAAATGTGAGCAACAGGGTAGTTTCCTGAAGGGACATTGGATGAAACTTCATTCAGATGCACTGGCCTTGAGGAGCGACTTTGCGTGCTTTTCGTGCTTTTCGTGATCTTGGCTTCAGAATGTGATGGTTGCTTATCGAAGATTGTGAACTTGGTTCCTAGGAAATTAGATCTTTTCCCAGACAAGGTAAAAAGAAAAAACTCTCAGAAATCTAAAACAAAGATCTAATAATGGTATCAGAAGCCTTCAAGAACAAGCATACCTCAATTTCCCAACAATGGTGTCGCTCCCCTTCGACGAATCCTCAGCACACAAAGAGATATCGTAATCAGTGTAGGTCGGGCGCTTCCATTTATGAGCAGCAAGTAGAAATTTACCATCCTCAGTTAGTGCTGTGATTAAGAAATGAACCATTCAGACAAAGCTAGGAAACCTCAATTTAGCATATAAATCACTAACCATTTGTCAAATTGAGGAAGAGATAATAGGTCTGGTTGGAGCTGTTTCGCTTTATGAAACACCGTAGAATATTATCCCTTGGACCAGGCTGCAAAAGTACCTCCAGACGTAAAAAGAAAAATCTAGGAGTAGGGACCAGGCTGAAAATGCATTGATCGCAGGATCAATTTTTGCGTACACAAAAACAACATTCCAAAACATCTGAATTCAACATCATTCTCGATCAAAAGAAACCGTAAACTTAATGAACAAAAATGGAAGAAACGAAAGCTATAGAGCAAAGAAACTTAGGGAAATCCAGCATACTCTTAAGAGTAAAACACATCATTATAGCAACAACATTCAAATTTCCAATCAGTTCAAAACCATACCAAATATACCTAAAATCCCCCAAATTAACAACAAGCGCGAAATACTCACTCACCTGCTTGAGAGAGATTGGGAATGTCAACCTGCCGGAAACCTCCAGCGTTAGGACGATCTCCTTAGAAATGATTCGCCAGCTCCGACAAACTCCGGCGCAAGCGACGACACTTTTCCTCAGCGGCCATAAGGCCTCCGACTCCTCGATTCTCATAAAAATATCCCTGAGAAGCTCCGAAGGCATATTGGCCCAACCGCTGTGTTCCAGGTCGTCCCTCGGCTCCGGAGCGGAGCTGTCCTGCACTACAGGGCGGGAGCGGGACCTCATATCTAGAAAGAAACTCTTCAGAGACATGGATTGGCCGGATTTCTGTTGGAGAAGACGATGAAGATGGTATTGATCATCAAAAACGTGCGAGAGACGCCATTGAAAGTGTGTGGATTTAGCTTCGGATCATTGCGGGCGGAAGAGAGATATAAATGAATCTGAGTCGGGAAAGGATACCAGCTCTGGTTATTCTGAAATCGCTAACTAGCCATTGTTATTGCTTCGAGTTAACGACGGAAGTGAATATTCAAATAACAATAAATAAATAAATAAATAAATAAAATATCAAGACTTTACCCTCTCAACATTCTTATTTTTCACATATAAATTAATTATTTTTAAAACTCTAAATTTTTTAATAATATTCTTATAATTTTTAAAAAGTACATATACATTTTATATGAAATTAAAAAATAATTTTATTTAAATATATATATATATAGTTAAATTTATTTAACATTTTTTATCTTTAATAATTTAATATTATATTGTGGTTGATATTATTTGTTTTATTTGATTATATTTCTAGATTATTAAAATATAGAAAATTTGAGATGATAATTTTTTAAAAATTAGATGAAAAAAAATTGTACATTTCAGTTAAAAATAAATTGAATTGTGCATTAAATAATTAAATAAAGTTTACTTTATATATATATACATGGAAACATAAATATAGTTTAATTCATAAAATTGTTTATTATTAAATGAATATAATAATTTTTTTTTACTATAAAATAAAAATAAAGAAGATTGATGAATGGAAGTAACCGAGAGAAAGGTTGCGAGCCTCTCTCGTTACTGTTTCTGAATCACCCCTCCCTTCCTTTCTTTTCACCGGGTCGGTGAGATCCAATGAGATCAAATCTGTCGTACTAAGTGAAATGGTAGTTAGAGAAGACATTTGATGGGAGACTTCCGTTAATTACACCTCCTTGTATAGGGTCAGGAGAACATAAGTGCTAGACTCGAGCCTAGAGCTTAAATTGATACAAGTAAAACAAGTAAATGTCCGTTTAATCCGTGAGTCAAGGTCGAGAGGATTTACCTTGGCACAGAGAATGGAAAAGGGGATCGAGAGTGCTTTCTCGTCTTTAACTAAATTGGTTGAGGGTCAGGACTTTTTTTTGTCTAGTGCAACGGGGCGTCATTATATATTTCTTGACATATTCAATAAATAAATATTTTTTTTAAGTAGAAGAATGTGTTTTAAATTTTTTTTAATAAATATATTGAATTTATTAATATATTTTACATTTTTTTATAATAAAAATTATTTGAAATGAGGTTTAAGGTATAATTTTTTTTTTTCAAAAACAAAATTGGATAGTGCACCGGTTACCAAACACAATTAATATAAATTAAGGCCAAAATCTGAACTAAGCTACCAAACAAACATCTATAAAAGCGTTTTGTTTGCAATTTGAGGTTTCTCACAGTCTTCGTGTTTCTCTTGCGGTAGATTCCATCCCTCTCTCTCTTTCCCTTTCATCGCATTTTCTTTCAAATCTCAGATCTCTGTGAACTCCCTCCATAACAAAAATGTTCTCCATCGCTAGATCTTCGGTTTCCATGCCGTCTATCTCCGCTTCTTTCAAGCACAGCCAGGTAAATCGTCTTTCCTCCGCTTTTTAGTTCGCTTTTAGGACTCTCAGTTGTAAATTCAAGTTACTTTTGGTCGGAACTTTGTTAATTTGGTTCCATGAATCTATTGATTGCGTGCTTTACTTCTGCTGAGTGTTTTCAGGATCTGATATGTTTTCTCGAAACGTTTGTGTTTGTTCCATGCGATTAAAGTTACAGATTACTGTTTTGGCTACTGAGATCTCTTGTTGAGATTGCACGAGATTTTTATTCTTGAAGATTTGACTAGATTACATTCGGTGACGATGATAGATCTGATTAAGTTATTTCGCGTCCTTGAGTTTTGGCGTCGGATTTGATTGTAGAATCTTTCTTTTAAGATCGAGAAGTTTTAACTAATTTTCATATTTAGCGCGTTATCTTATTTTTAATGCTTCTGCTGCATTTTTCGAGCAGGTGTCTAACGGCAGGATCTCAGGTTTGAAATTAGTTTCGGCGCCTTTAGGCAAGGCCATTTTTCCCTTGCGAAGGAACTTCAGGCAGGGAAGCCTTCAGGTTAGCTGTGCGGTAAGTGCTCTTCTGATGTATTTATTTAATCGTCAGCGGCGTTATCCTTTTAAAAGTCTTTTCTGTATATAGTACATACTATTTCAAAACTATTATTGTGTGCTCACATTATTCTCTCTGAAATTGTTGCAACAAATAGGCTAGTAATAACTGAACTCAATTCAACAGCAGGTCATATACTAGATCCCAGTCCTCTTTTATGATATGACATGTGGCTGTTTATTATGTGATTCTCTCCTTTTCTTTTTGTAGTTTTCTGTTTCTGCAGATTTTTATTGTGTGAGACTAGCGGATAAGACTTCCATACACATCAAAAAGTTGGATATAGATAGATGAAAACTGCTAGAACAAATCTGCATAGATAGCTGCTGCTGTCTGTTTTAGAATTTCATCATCACATTTTCGTTGACTCTGATGATCTTTCACAATTGTATTCTCATTGATCAGAACATTAAAACTCAGTCTATTTTTAAGACTTTAGACTACTGAATACATCTTGACAAACTAACAGAATAACAAAACGAACACTCTGACTATTAACGTACATTGTATTCCTAAATGTTATAGAGCTCTTTTTTTCTTGCATCCATACGATAATGTTACAGAACTTACGAAACTCCTGGACAGGCTAAACCAGAGACCATGGACAAGGTGGTTAAAATCGTGAAGAAACAGCTTGCTCTAGATGAGGATTCTGTGGTCAATGGAGAATCGAAATTTTCTGAGCTCGGAGCTGATTCTCTCGATACGGTAACAAATGTTCTTCAACGTATTGTACTTGTTCAATATATTGTAAAATGGTATCTCATTTTCACTGCAGAAGCATCTACCTCCTTTGATGATCATTTATTTTTTTGCTTTTAAGAATTAAGAATATAAACAATGCTTTCACCCCTGAGTTTCTTTGTTTTGTTATCTTTGGAAACATTGCCAAGTTTTAAAAATTAAAAACAAGTAAAATTTTTCTGTTTTTAGAATTTGACTAAAAATTTAAATCTACCTTTTTTTTTTCAAAATAAATAACTAAATAGTTATCAAATAGGTTAGTCTTAGTTATTTTCTATTTTCTTTGTTTGGGTGCCATTTGATTTCATTTGTTGTTTATCATTTGTCAAAAATAGGATCCATTGAACTTTCACCTCTGAGTTCCTTTGTTTGCAAAACATTATCATAGTTTTGAAAATTTTAAAAATAAATTGCAAAAATATGTTTCATTTGTCAAAAATAGGATCGATTGAACTTTCACCTATGAGTTTCTTTGTTTGCAAAACATTATCAAAATTTTGAAAATTTTAAAAATAAATTGCAAAAATATGTTTTTGTTTCTAGAATTTGGTTAACGTCCTTTTATTACTATTATGAGAAAACTAGGTCATTTTTTTTAAAGGTCTTGGTTATTTTCTATTTTCTTCGGTTGTGTTGTCATTTGATTTCAATTCATGTTTATCGTTTTTCAAAAATAAAAAATAGGATCGATTGAATTCATTCCATTTTCTAAAAAGGAAAAATGATTTTATAACCGGAAAACAAGTTTTTAAGAATAAATTTCTTCCAATTTTCCAAAATTTTACTTTTAGACACCCAATCTTTCTCTCTTTACTTATTCTCCCTGTACACTTTTTTTCTTTCTCTAATCATATCTGTCTAGAATTCCTCTTTTTCTCTAACTTTTTGAAATTCTCTCCATAACGTCTTATTGTTAAACATATTATAAATATGAGTATATGGTTAATATTTGAAAAGTAAGTATTGTTTGATAAGAAATTATTGTCAAACATGGTTCGCTTTTCCATTTCTTATGTAGCCTATCAACCATTTTTGGTTGTTAATAAACATGAAATAGTAACAAAAAAATATAAATAAAAAAGGGTTAAGTTTCTGTCGCCTTATTTCAATGGGGCCGGTTGTAGAAGACGTGAAAAGAAAGAAGATTTGTTTGGCATGATAACCATTTTAAAAGGTTTTCAATTTTATTTTAACTTTTTATATTTAGTATAAAAGGTTAAAATAAAATGTTCTAGAAAATTGGTCATTTATTCATTGAGTTATTCATTGAGTTAAGCAGAGAATGGCATGCTTTATTCTTTTATAGTATTAGATAAACATGAGCTTTCGTGATAATTAGAAAAGTTAATTCATTTAGTCTTTACATTTTAAGGCATTTTTAACCCAGTCTCTCCCTTTGGGTTCGCCGGGTCGGATCTTATTTTTATTTATTTATTTATTTTGGGACGAACTTATTAAATATCCAATAGTTTTGTGCTTTATGAAGTGTTTTTTTATTATTTATTATTTTAAAAAAAAAGTAAAGGGGAGTGAAAATGAATTTAACGAAGTTATTGAATGGATGTGTAGGTTGAGATTGTGATGGGACTGGAAGAGGCATTTAAGATCAACGTGGAAGAAGAGAGCGCCCAAACCATCACCACCGTCCAAGAGGCCGCCGATATGATCGAGACTATTATTTCAAAGGACGGACCGAAGCCCGCCGCCTAAATCTAATTTCATAGTGTTCCGCGTTCCGCCCGTATTTTAGATCTCTCTCTCTCTCTGGATTTTGGTAGCTTCTCTTTCTTTCTATCCACGTTCTTTTCCTTTTCAAACTTCTTAGAAACGTTCTCTGCGTGGCCTCACTTCCACTTCGTTCTTATTTATATTTTCCTTGATTATTGAGTTTCTGGGAATCCTCCATTTATTTCTTACTGCTACCGATGCTTCCCTAATTGTTTTTTTATCTCATTGGATCAAGATCTACAAGGCTTGATAATTTTTTAGACAAAATTCTTGATCAAACTTAAATAAATATTTAACACAATAATGGTAAATCTAGAAATCCCTATCTTGAGGAGTAGGTTGAGTATCTTTCTTACTTACAAAAATATCGAAAATATGAGTCATAATATGTTTTTTTATGTAATTAATTTTAAATACTCAGTGTTGTTTTCTTATCAAAAAAGTCTTTTAGGATTATGATAATATGAAGAAAGAAAAAAAATTATTTCATTGTTTACCATAAAACAAATATTTAAAAACTATATGAACCCCATAAAATAAAATAAAATAATATATTATAGTACCGTGTCAAATAATAACTAGAACTATTTTCTTATAATTAGAAAATTTCACATTTTTACTCACCTAACCTGAAGCCCAACGGCTAAATGAGGGACGTGTCAAATACTCAGTGTTGTTTTTCACCCACCTAACCTAAACTCAACCCTAATGGCTAAATGCTTTCTTGCAAGTTGTCACAAACAAATATATATATATATATACGAATAAATAGGAAGGAAAGAAGACGTGATAATGACAAGGGAAAGGAGACAAGGAAGGCTTACCTAAACAGCACCATTGAGAAAACATACTGATTGGTACAACGTGCGACTCCAAATTTCAACCAACACACCTAATTCACAGTCAGTGTGCATCACATGCACAAGGAATCAGATTTCATGTTTGCCCATTTGCATTCTGATTCAAACCCCCCCATGTGCCACCAAAATTACTCTCTTCACTCAGTAACAAAAATCTTAGGGCTCAGATAAAAGGCTACAAAGAGAAAAAAAGGACTCATAGTTTGTCAATTATAATGAAAATTTCCAACTCTTATCAAACCTTGCATCTAATGCAGACTTAAATCACACAAAAGGGTTCGGTATCTAAAACTATAGCATTTATTCCCAAATTTCAAAAAGATAACGGTGAGAATATTTGCTAAAATCATACTAGCTAAAATCATCCCACCTAAATAATGTGAAAATTTTCTATTTATAATCAAATAAATTACAAGAATATGGGGAAAACAATAAATAAATACAAAATATATGCCTATAATAAAAGGGAAAATTTGATATTTATGGTAAGCTGTAATGGAAAACAAATAAACAAATATCTCGATGTCTATAATAAAAGATCAAATACTATAGTAAACTATAATTCATATTAAGCAGAAAACCCAACAGCCAAATATATATATATAAAAAAAAAGAGTACAAATGATCTGAATTTCACCATTGATGGTTCAACTGAAAGAAGATCAACTAAAAGTACTATTTTCCATGTACTCAGAAAAATGAAATTAACAAAAAAGAAACAAAAAGGAAACATCCGGGATGTAATGAATCAAGTACAAGTAGAAGTGGAACTTTTGCAGTTTCGGAGTCAATGTAAGTGCAGATAGAAGGCATGAAGTGATAGGGCAGTGAGAAGAAGGGAATTTGAATAGGGAGGCAGGGGTTTAGGGGCTGCAAAGGAACCTGGTAACCCAAATGGGGAAAGGGCAGAGGAATCAGGGCCAGGAGCCTCGAACTCGTCTGGATTTGGAGGGCTGGGGTTGGAAGGAATGGTGGGAATCGAACCAGTTGCAGAAGGAATGTTACCGCCTGTAGAAGGCAATAATGGAGCGATATCAGGGGAGAGTTCTTGAAAAGAGGGGCTGAGTTTTGGATTGGGTAGAGATGGTAAGGCAAGCAAAGGTGAGGCCATGAATGCCATAATGACTGCTGCACAATACCAAAAGGAGGCCATTCTAATGATGATGAAATCACTCAACTCTCTCTCTCTCTCTCTCACTGGAGGGTGTGTAGTCTAATAAATAACCCTTGCCTTTACCAAGCTGCCGGGGATTATGGTTTTAGGGACTTTGTTTTAAATGATGACGTGGGACCTTTGAAATGGGAGAATGGAGAAGCCAGGTAGGACAAATTCCACGTGGATGATGGTAAGTGGATGTTGTGGAGGGTAACAGGTTGTAATGTTTGGGGATGGGACAAAAGATTGGACTTTTTTGCTGCGGCTTGTTTGGTAGCTGACGATTCCTCTTTAACCCGTGACATTGGTTCTCCTTAATTTACGATAACTGAGATCCTAAAAGTCCAGTCCAATTGATCATAACTTTACCAAACTATGAATTTCACTAGTCACTCTAACTACTACGCCCTCTTGATTCTAATCACTCGAATTTCAATGATTAATCCCACTTCTCAAACTTGTTGTGCAGAATCAGCAGACAGTGAGGAAGCAAACAATTAAACCAACTTTATTTGAAAGGGCTCATCTTGAGCGAACAAAGGGACATGGAAAGATCAAGCAGAGATGCACAGAAGTATTGCCAAATTGGAACTGACAAAATGTCAGGGGATGTGATGATACATTTGAAATGCCAAAAAGAAATTGCCTTGCATTTGCATTTCAGAGGGCACCGAGCAAAATCTCTAAACTAGGGATGGGATGTTCAGGGTTTTAATTTTTTCGAACTCAATCAGATTAATTTCGGAATGGTATCTAGTGGCAAGTGTTTTGTGTGGATGGAATGCTTTGTCTTTCCTCATGGACTAAATTGACTCTTTCAACAAGTTAGAGCTTAGATTTTGTTAATGGATCTAATCTGTCCCATTAATATGTTTTTGTTCTTGTTTCTTAAGAGCAACACCAAGGGAATGTGAACTTATCTCTTAACGGTAGTGATTCCATGACCTTTTCTGTAAAATCTTAACACACGTAGGAACAGTCATTTCAAGGCTCTATTAAGGGGCAGAAAAGGGATTGACCAACATGTACTCATTGTGGTTTTCCATTCCGTAAGTACAAGGTTATCTTCCTAGTTGTAAGCAGAGAAAAAGTCTGCACATAATCAAACATGGAAGAACGCCACGCCTGTTAATCAAGCTATAGACAGTGGTTCAATCGCTTAATGAATAAACTCTACTAACAAAATAAACTCCTTTTCATCTACTTTATGACCCATAAGTAGATTATAGATCTCCTTTCCTTTCAAACAGTGAGAAAAAAAATTATACTTCTCCCAAGGTTTTTGGTTGCTTAATTTTTCCTTCCTTCTCACCGAACTAAGTTTCAACCAAGTTAAGCATTCTGTTGGTTGCAGTCAGATGCATCTAAAAGACCAAGTACAAATAAGATGGAAATATGGGGAAAATATAGTAACGCTCGTTAAAATATACTCAACAAGAAGATTGGGGTTTCTTTAGGACTTCTCTCCCGCCGCAGAGCTTGCCATTGTAAAAATTCTTTGTGATCGCATCTATTTATATTGGCCTTTTAAACAACTTGAAGCAAATAATGTCTTCCTCACTATTGATCGGTTGAGGAGATTATGTTGATCTAGCCTTAGGTTTTCCTATATAGAGTCATGAGGGGCATCCCTTGGTTTCTAACGTTCACAAATCCATCTGTGATTTAAAAGAAAACTGGCTATTGGTTCTCAAAATTTCCTTTTTCTCTTGTGCTGTTTCTGTTCCTGGTTTTAAACAATTTATAAGCGCAACATTCCTTTGTCACTAAGTGTCGATCCTTTTCTAAAACCTTTTTGTCAGTAAATGCCATTGATATTTCAATTAATGGATCTGGTGAGAGTGGCCCAAAACAATGGAAGCTTCAAATGAGCAGATCAAGCTTAAGGATCTTGGTAGTTTGAAATTTTACTGGGATTTGATCTCATGGAGGTATGTATCTTTCAAAACGTTATTAGACACTTCACCTATTTGATTCTGATTTATGATATTTTTGGGCTGTAAGCCCCCTCATGGGATCCTAAAATTCTTTAAAGTTCTTTTGAAGGTGTTCTTAGTGATGCTTCTTCGTATAGGCATTTAGTTGGAAGACTTCTCTCTATTTGACAGTATCACGACCAGAGGGAGTCGAGATTAAACCTAATGTATGTTGCCTCTTGATTGGACTCTAGCAAAACCACCCAATGTGAATTGTGCATACACTTCTTAGTTTCACTTTAAACATTCCATCTGTTATTTCGCTAATGTCAAATACTGTTTATACATTTTAAGGCCGTTGGACTTTAATGTATGGATTCAAAGGATGAGATTCATTAAAAGATCTAGATTGTTCCATGGAAGTCATATAGAATTATCTGGTGTGTTTGAAGCAAATGTATGGAGGAGAAAAGACAAAACAAATTCAATTGCATTGAAAACTCTTGAGAAAAGTGTGAACCTAAGTTTGTAGTTCTCTAAAGAGTTTACAATATAATTGAAATTGTTTCTTCTCAAATAAGTTTTGTTTGATTATTTCATTATGGATATCCATCGCATACTTCTAACAGATTGATAGTTGAATCGAGCAGATAATTCCGTATCACATTTTTCTTCTTAACAGAAATATCAAAAGATTTTTTGTCAGGAAACGGAGAAAAGCTGAAAGAGTACCTGACACCGCATGCTCGATTCCTATAGCTCATAAGGTCCCCTCCATTAAAGTACCCCAGCAGGACCAAACCTGATCATATTTGACGAGAGCTTTCCTCTCCGGTTGAGCAGAGGAATAATAGCGGAAAGCAAAACTCGGAGTTATCCAACATAAACTGGTAAGGATTAGGAAGCCAGAGTTGATGAAAATGAATAGTTGCAAGCTGTTTCAATCGAGCATGAGCTTTTATATGACGGCGCAATATAAAATGCAAAACTGAGAACATTAGAAACATACAAAAATTTAGCTCAATCCGGTTATATAAGGGATCAATAACCTGACCTGCGATCAGTGGAGGATCAGACAGCCAGTTCATGAAGCGCAACTGTTCCCGCAGAAACCTCAAACGTTCAAATTCCAGCTTGTATACAATGCAAAATCAAAAGTTCAACAAGTCAGAGATGAAACAAATTCAGCAGTCTCTAATGGTGATTACTTTTCGGGATTTTAAGTACAGGAGCAAAAAAGTGAAACGTTACCGAAAAGTGAGACCTATTAATTTGCTTCGTGCAGAATTTTGTTCATCCGCTAAACATCAACGCACTTAATCCCTAATTATTCGATCGTCTGATCTTTCCATTACATATAGTCTACAAAAGCACAGTTTAGGATATTAAAACTATTGCCGCCATTGACTGCACAATTAGCAGAGTACAGCAGAGAAATTTGCGGATTGACTTAAAAAAAAGTTCGATAAACGTTACCAAAATTGTCCGCCACCAATGGAATTGACGAAGATATGATACTCGCTCAACATTGCCTCCGTTCTCTTTGCCAAGGTTCAAAATGCAGATGACCACGATTTGAACAGATAAACCAAAGCGAATGAAAAGCTTCACAAAACTTGTTCAGAGAAACAAAAACAATACAACAGGACGAATAAAATCTTCACAAATCATGATTCGAATTTGGCCATGGATCGGAGAAGGAAGAAGTGAAGAACGATAGAGTAGGCGGGAACAAAAAGGCGAAAATTGAAATTACGAAGTCGATAGCGGTTTCGTAAGAATTTTGCCATACATGCTCCTCCTTAGAAACAAAATACTGGTAAATTTTGTTTTTTCTGATATTTATACTCTTCAAATTTTAGTTTATTTTTCATTCTAGTCCTTAAATTTTTAAATATTTCATTTTATCTCTAAATTTTGATATATTACACTTTTTTCCAAATTTTTTTGTTGACGCTCGCCTGAAATTAACTTTTAGTTCATTAATTTTCAATAATTATGAATTGAGTTTTTTTTTTTAATTAGCTGTAATAATGACGACAAAATGAGTGAAGAATAATTAATTATAAATCTTTTAAATTGATTAATGGACTATTCAGTAACAAATAAATGTTTGTTTTATCCAGTAAAATAGTTTTCATATATTCTAATATATAGTTAAATTCAAAAAATAAAAGAATAAGTTTTTTAAAACAATTTTTTAGCCTTTAAACTTGGGCAGTTTTGTTTAGATGGACACGACTCTCCACAATAGTATGATTTCAACCATTTTGAACATAATCTCTTATAGTTTTGGTTTGTGCTTCCCCAAAATATCTCACTTCAATGGAAAGAGTATTATTTGATTATAAACTCATAATCATTCCCTAAATTATTCGATGTGGGACTTTCATCATCTAACAATACCATTGTGGAGATTCATGATTTCTTATCACATTCACGCAGCCGATAGTACAATATCGTGAAACAACAGGTACTTAAGAAAATAGCGTTGAACTAAATTCGTCAGTTATTGAGACGTAAGTCATGTAGATTATCGACTATCGGGTGGGAATTATTATGGAAATGAGTGAAACTACGTGTCACTTTTTCGCGTGTATTGAAACTCAACCATATAAAGTTATACATTAAGAATGTTCACAAGGCGGGGCGAGACATTTAAATCCTCATCCAGAGAAATTCCTCGTTTAATCTCCCATAATCGAGAAAAATTCTTATTAATTTATTTACAGATTAATATTATTTATGATATAAACCAACCAAAGTTATTAGTGTAATTTAAATAATATATGATTAATATGCATACAGATTATCCCGAAAAATTCCTGAGAAATTTTTTTATTATTTGATTTACAAATTAATATTATTTATTGTATGAATAAACCGAAGTTAGTGTAATTTAAATAATATAAGATTAATATGACGGCAGATTGTGTTCCAACATTAATCTAAATGATATGTAGTAAATGGATAAAGTTTATTTGTTTTATTTTGATAATATTGTTTATACAACTTATGTAATTATTATAAATAATTCAATTAAAATTGTTCCTGAAGAAACATGTGAGTGAAAGTATTCTATACCACGAGTTTATATAATGTTCGACTAAAAAATATTTAATATTTATCTATAATTCTGTTAATTGATACACTTGGTATTTCATATGATGATCATATATAATTCCGTCTTAGTTATTATCGAGTTATGAACTCGTGCTCACGGGAGCTTGTACTTTGATTTGCATGAGTGATAATGACTTTTATAGCTAGCTCAACATGCTTACGATTTTTTTTTACTCGACCAAATAGGGAGGTGAGATTGCAATCTCGTGATCATAAATTCACTATAAAATATAAGTAGACGAGTAGTTCCTTAAAGTAAGTAATTCAATACTTGAATAACGAGACTCCATCCTCTTACGGCTCGAAAGAAATTTGATTTATTGTTGGATTGTAAACAAATTGTCTATTGGACCATCACTAATACTCAAGCTGAAAGAGGTAATGAAATTTACCTGTATTTAAAAAAAAAAAAAAATTATTTTTTGAAAATTTTAAAGAATGTATTAATAAAAGATAAATTGAATGGTACTTTTTTTTAATTTTGTTGAAAATTTAAGGTACTTTTCAGATATTGTTAGAAGTATAAGGGTGTAATTGAAAATTTTGGAAGTTTTAAGGGCGTAATTGAAAATTTTGAAAGTTTTAAGGGTGTTATTGTAGTATTTTCTACCATTATAGCCAAATAGGTAATTTAACATACTTATAAGGGACGTTTTAGTAATTTCAGCTTGAAAAACAATCATTTATTTTCATTTAATCAGCGAGCGTAGAAGGAGAAGAATCGCGAATGGAAGCAATCGATACCGTAGAAATTGCATCGAATCTCTCAGGCGAAGAGCCCTCACTGTAAACGTTATAACATTGAGCACTTCCAAAAATCACCAGAGAAATTCATTCATTCACTGCAAAATCCCTTTGTTCATCTTCCGATGCCCAAACTCCGCGTTGCCCTCAAAGTTTTCTGCTCCTTCAGCTCTGTGTTTTTGTTGCTATTCAACTGACAAAAAAGCACCAGTAAGCACCTATTTTATTTCATTTCGTTTTTCTTCTTCCTCGAAATTTCTATTTATGAACATGTTTGGGAGGTTTTGTTTGAATCGCTTCATCTAATCGTCTTCTCTAAATTTCTGCTGATTTTGAGGTTATGTTCTGTTTGGAATTTTACCTTTGACTGACATGGATTCAATGGCGTTTTTGAAGTTCATTTGTTTCTTAAATGTGAGTTTTGCTTAATTTAAGCTGAGTTAGGGTTTTACTACGTTGATTTTGCTGAGAGTTTCGTCAGCTCTCTACTAATTTTCCTTGTGAACTCGTCAAATGTGAGAATCGTAGTCGTATGGAGTTTGGACCTGTTGACAGGTTTTGCGATGAAGGCGTAAAATTGTTTATTGCATTGGTCACCATATCAAGGCGTAGAGATGTGAGGTGGTTCCATGCATTCCCTTTGAACTCTAATGGAGTGATGGTTGGATTTTGTAGGACGGATTGTGGAAGTGAATGTGTATATTTACCCAGCAATCTGCATTTATTATTTTTTATTTATTTATAAATATGCATTTTATTTTTCAAATCGCTCGATGGCTATCAAACTAGCATATTTAAATTTAGCTGTTTTTGTGTGCGTATCTCAACTAATTTTATGAGATAGTTTCCTAACAACACTAGATTGCCTGCCCTTTCTTTCACGCTGGCCAGGACGAGAAAGGATATAACGGTGCATTGAAAGATCCAACAGTCAAAAGGGAAACCAAAGGGGGGTTCTAAAAAGCAAGAATCGGCTCCCCTTATGAGAATATAACCGGTCCCATCTCTCTCCAAACCTAACGTGGTAGTTCCCCATCATAGGGCTTTCTATCTATAGATTGAGGCATTACAACTAACCACTCTCTTAAGTGTCAAATGGTTTTTTGAGTGCATTTAATCAATCGATCGCTATTCACTGACTCCCACTAGGTGTAAAGTGACTGGGTTCCAAACCTCACCCTTGAGAAAAAGATATTGAACTTCATTTCTTTATGTCTTTCTGTTAGTACGAGGATCCCCGCTAAGCATCCATGACTAAATGGTTAAAGCGCCCGGGTGCCACGGAATGGGCGAAGATCACCAGAGAGCAAGGCCAGATCTTCTGCATATGTTAATCAGGAAACTCTTAGGATTTTAATTTTCTAAGAGTTGGGCATATGATATTTGGTAATTTGGTTAGGATGGGATAATGGGAGAGTGCAAGGAGCGAGACAATAAATAGTTGGGTAGCTTGGGAGAGGATCAGAACTCTTGAAGTTTGAAAGACTTGTATCCATCCTTGCACAGCTCTAGTAAGTACTATTCATCTCTTCACATCACCAATCGAGCACAACTTAAAAGGTCTAAAGTTTAAATCCTTCTTTTCTTTTTCGTTACCGCAGTTTCTCTTATCTTTTATCCAAATGGATAGTCTTTTTGTGTTTCCTTTGGAATGGAGTGGTGAGGGTTTTCCTATTTCTTTTGTAATTTCATACCAACATTGAAAGAAACAATTTTAGCTAAGTTTTGAAGAAAAAAAAGTTCCCGATCAAACTCAATTGGCGTCAAACTACCTCCCTAGGCACACCAATGGGATAGAAAGTTTAGTATATTTCCGTTTCAGGTTGTTCAATTCTAACACCCAACCCAACCCAACACTTAAATGTTTGGGTAGGTGCCCACTTGCTACAATTATGGAAAACTCAACATGAAACAAAGACACTAAATGAATTGGGATGGGGTATCAAAAGGACATCGAAGATACGACAAAGAGAGGCAGCAATGAGGAGACAACAAAGATATCGAATGCGAACATTGGAGAGTCACAATGAAGAGAGAGATTTGGAGAGCTAAGTCGAGACACCCATATCACCCATATCAACCTTAGATTGCATGTATATGCACTTTTCCTTCTCTTTAGGGTTGTAGCGGTGCATCATTTGTGGAGGAATATCAGAAGATCTTGACCACATTATTTGGAGTTAGTTTGCTCAATCTATTTAGTCTCATTTTGAAGTCTTTTAGAGTTTCTATGGCTTTAACAAAATGGTAGGGCTATGTTGAGGAGGCTCTGCCACATCCACCCTCTAGGATAAGGGCAAAATTCTTTGGCAAGTTTGTTTTCTTATTTGCCATTTTACGGGACATTTGGATTGAAATAATAGAATTTTGGAAGGGTAGAGAGGTTCTGGAGGAGATTTGGTATATCATTAGGTTTTCTTGTGGGCTTTGGTTTCTAATGTTTTTTGTAATCATTAGTTACGTTATTCTCTTGGATTGGAATCTCTTTTATGCAGTTTTTGGGCTCTTTTTTTGTTTGTTCTTGTGTAACATTTTCTTTTTTCTTAATGAATGCTTGGCTTTTTATTAAAAATTGCTCCGATAAGCCAATTTCAATCGCATTATAAGGGACCTTTAATGAAAGGCTATTTTCATTGAGATAGGACAATAGTGTAAGGGGTATCACTATTTGAAATGGTGGTGCCTCCCCTACAAGAACTCTCAAATGAAGTGTTGGGATGAAGCTTCCTGAATGGGTTGAAAACTAGCTTAAGGATAATGGCAAGGTGAAAGAGAATGTTGGAGAGAGTGATGAAATAGGGGGGCTGTCATTGAACTTGATTGTTGAAATCCGCCATCAGCCTATGCACAACGCACGTCCCCAAGCTACTCCATTTAGTGTTG